GTTTTTTTTATGTATTTATTAAATTCTAGAATGACATAATAACATGTATACACTGTAAATAAGAAAGATGGATGATGAAAGTTCCGTATGGTAATATTTCTTTACTTAGAAAAACAGCAATATTGCAGCAATAACAGCATAATTGCGCAGTGTAACACTGGTAAGGCCACTTCAAAACATTAAGGACTCAACAAGGGGACTTCACGCTCTTTTAAAATGGCGAAACAGTTCAAATAATAAAATAATATAATCACGGGATTGATCCCGGGATCGGCTAATAAAAACCCCGAAATCCCGGGATTGGATTGAAGGTCCGGGATTGAGACCCCTAGCAGCGATGTCTTTCTTCTTTAACGCCCCTTCGTTCACCATCTTTATTATTTTTAGCTTGTCACCAACAGGCGTTGCTTTGTGTTGTCTTTTTGCACTAATTTTCGCACAGTATTCTACCCACAAGCAGTCATCACTCACTTGAAAAGCCTCGCACAAAGTAAACAGACCTGAGACTGCAGCCAAACTAGATGATTGACCCCGGATTTGACTCTCCGACAGGTTGTAACGTAAACACCAGGATTTCGAATTAAAAAGGTCCATTCTGAAAACTTCGCGGTATAGAGTTAACCTCAAGTTAACTGAACTTGAGTGTCTACTCGAACTTTGACTTACTTACTTACTCCCAGGGCCATTTATATCGGAGGTGATATTTGGCCGCACCAACAAATCTTCGCCAAGTTAACCGGTCTTTCGCATCATCCTCCGTTGCCCCAATTCTCTCCAAATCTTCTTGCACTTGCTTCCACCACCTCTGCTTAGGTCTTCCCCGGGGTCGCCTTCCTGTAGTGTTTCCCTTTAAAACTCTTCCCAGTCTACAATCTTCACCTCTTCTTAATATATGACCAGCCCATCTGATTCTTCGGCACTTGATTTCTCCAATTACATCTGTGCTATTATACAGTTCCCTTAATTCCCTATTGTGTCTTATTCTCCATTCTCCTTGCTCAAATATTGGTCCAAAAATCTTCCTTAATAATTTTATTTTCGAATACTATTAGTTTCTTTTCATCTCTTTTATTTAATTTCCAGGTTTCTGATCCATATAGGAGAACTGGGCAAATAATTGTTTTGTACAGCCTGACTTTTGTTTTGCGGGACAAAGATTTAGATGAAAGCAATTTATTGCAAGCATGAAAACATTTATTTGCTGAATTTATTCGGCTTTGGATTTATAGTTCATCAGTATTTTGGTTGGATATAATTACTCCTAGGTATTTACAACTGTTGACTTTTTCAAATGTATGGCCATCAATTTCTATTGGTTCTTCAGTATTATCCAAGTTTCTTGAAAAGTGCATGTACTTAGTTTTTGAATAGTTTGTTTTTAGGCTTACTTTTTCTGTTTCTTTCATAAATACTTCGGTTAAGGCCTTCAGATCTTCTAGTTTTTCTGTGATTATAACCACATCATCTGCAAAGGCTAAGATGTTTATTTTGATTTCTATTTTCACTCCTATGTTCTTCTTTGCTACCTTCTGTAGAGCTTCCTTTAATGGCAAAATTAAATAGGATCGGTGATATCCCATCTCCTTGTCTGACACCAGAGTTTACTTCAAAGGGGTTGCAGTTGTGGCCATCAATTCTAACTGAACATTTAGATCCTGAAATACTCATTTTAATTAAGGCTATAATTTTATTCGGTATGCCGAATTTTCTTAGCTGTGCCCATAATTTGTCCCTTCTTATGCTGTTGTAAGCCTTCTGAAAGTCAATAAATAAATCAAACTCGAACTTTGACTTACAGAGGTAAAATTTTACTGGAAAATCAGTTTGTGTTACGTATTGTAATTTCTTCGAGTTAGACAGGCTTTTTCAAGGGGAGTGAAAACAATTTGTGTTATCAAAGATTTCGAGTTATCAAGATTCGTGAGAGCAAAAATTGACTGTATTTACAATTTTGTTTTATTTTTAACGATTTGAAAATAAAAGAATTTACCCCTAGATTAGCTAATGTTATTCAGGGTGAATAACATTAGCTGAAAGAAAACTTTAAGATGAATTTTACATTAAATACCCTGCCAACTAAGCGAATTTCCATTTGTCTGAATAGATTTTCAATTAAATCTATTTAAATAACATAAACCTTGGTAACGAGTACCTAGGTTTGCTGCTACATGGAAACTAACAATGTGTGATTTTTATTAAAATATTAATAGCTTAGTTTAAAATAAATAAATTTGCCAGGTTTGATCAAAATATATCCATAAACAAGCAAACTACAACATTTTACATCAATTTTCTCTGTTACCAATAACCGTACAAAAACACTTTGATATACTAAATTATTTGTTTTCAAGCTCTTTAAAAAGGTCTAGAGAGAAATTGGGAAATTTTGTTTTGAGGGTCAAAAATGAGAAAAACCAATTTTCACCCCGTAAAACCCTGTTCCCATGGTCCGATCATATAAAATATAAAATCCTTAATGCCAAATTTCATGAAAACCGTAAATATTAAGAAAATTGTTTTTAAGATAAAAACTATAGAGAATTTAAATAAAAATCAAATGAGACCTTGTTTGTTAAAATCAGATGATAAACAACCGAGTTATCAGTTTTTTCTACATTCGGATACACAATTTAATAGGACTACCATACTGTTAACAATATGGAACCTTATAGCAACAATTAGCCGTTCCACCACTGCACCTAAACAATAGAAAAAAGTAAAGTTCTCATTGTATATCAAAGCTTTTTGTTGCTAATTGGTTCAAATTAGCTGTTGTCATAAATTAAAAAAAAATTAATAGTGCTGCACCCTGTTAGTAAACTTTATAACTTGTTGATGCTATTTAATTACATAGAAACAACTTGTGTAGTTGAAACAGCTGACAAAATTATGTATTTCCTTTTAAATATGAATACTCATAAGGTTGACATTGTGACGCTTGCGTCACAGCAGCGACGCATCACACGGTAAGGATCAGCTGATTGCTGGAGAACGGGGGAGGGGGTAGGAAGCGCAGAGACAGAGGTCAGTCGTGTTCCATAGTCAAGAGGGTGTAGGCGCCATGGTCAAGGGTGGACTCCACCGCCGATTGATAAGTTTTCCTTAGTATAAGTAATATTAAAATTTGTTCTAATTTTTTTCAGGAAGGGGGGATTAAGGGGTTAGGGAACTATTAATTATTTCAGCTTAATATGTAAATTATATTTTAGAGCACACTCGTACCCTTAAGGTACGAGTGGAAGTTTTAGGTGTTCATTTCCTTATTATATTTAATTAGATGCATTTGAAATTATTAGATCATCAAAATGGCTGTGATATGGATGTGGTTTGGCTCAGTAATTAATTTTAGATCTTTATTATTCAACTCAGAATGTCGCTAGCAACACCAGATTGATTATAATGAGCCTTAACGATCCTTATGAGTCCAGTACCGTTACTATAAACTGTAGTAACACGCTTCAACATGGGAAACTCCAGAGCCACTGAGGTGGAGCCCGAAAGGGTTTTTGAGATATGAATATTTCTATATGTTAATCAGGAATGTGAGCTATCACCATACCAAATCTCAGCCCAATCAATGTGAACTTCAAACAAACAAACTTTCACACTTATAATATTAGTAAGATATATATATACTAGGGGTCTCAATCCCGGGCCTTCAACCCAATCCCGGGATTATACAATATTATAATTTTTAACTTTTTAGCCATTTTAAATGAGCGATAAGTCCCTTTGTTGAGTACTATAATGTTTTAAACTGGCCTTACCAGTGTTAAACTGCGGAATTTCGCCGGAACTTTCATCACCCGTCTTTTTTATTTACAGAGTGTTTAAATGTTGATATGTCACTCTAGAATATAATAAATACATTTAAAAAATCACGAGCAACCGCACTCGCATGTAGCCTATGCGTCACGCTAATAGATAGATTAAAGATAGCTAAGATAAAAAGCTAAAATGGGAAGAATCACAAGTAGCAACGTAAAAATGTTATTTTGACTGACAGCAATAAAACAATATAAGATATTGTAAAACAATAAACCATCTGCTTATGTAGTAGCGTGTGTATGAAAAATGTAATTTAGGATTGTAAGAAATTTAATCACCACACTAATAACCAAATAAAAAGATTAAGTTATAGACCCTAAATTTAAGCAATCTTACTAATGAAATTATAATGGTGTGTTTATAGTTTGTATTTTATGGCTTCAATGAAAATAATACTTCACTTTTTTGATTAAAAACGTTATGTTTGCTACATGAATTGCATTGTTTACGTTTAATGTCAAAAGTAAAACTCAAAATAACTTATAGGGCTGCTGTAATTAAGTTCTAACTAATGTAATAACATTTACAGAAAGTTAATCCAAATCGTCTAAAAACTTAAACATATACTTACATTTGCTCGCCTATTGAGTTTAATGATAATTTAATTTTCCAATCAAAATAGATTATACTATTTTATATATATATTTATCGTCCTAAAAATAAAGAGTATATGTGTTTCAATTGTTATTAGACGTATTTTTATTTATTTTCCGTAAGTAAAAGTCCCCATATTCACAAAAATTAAACATAAACATAGGTTTTTCAATCCCGGGATTAAGTCACCAATCCCGGGATTTCTAGGTATAAAAAATCGGCTGGGATTCAGGATCCTGGGATTGAGACCCTTAATATATACATACATATAGAAAAAATTTGAACAAATGGAGTGTTTGGCCTCTGGGGACATCAAAATAAAAAAGTAGGTAAATCGGTCCCGGGCCTAGGTTTTACCGTGCCACTTACGGTAATAGCCCAATAGGGAAATTCGTTAAAAAAGAATTTTGGATGGGAAAAATGACCAACTGTAGTAAGATGATAATGAAATTAAAAAAAAGTCTAATAGCTTAGTTTTTTTTATGTTTGTGTCAAAAGTAAAGTAGTTCTTATTGAAGTTATAGCTTTACTTTGAAAGGTTGTTACAACAAAGCTGTGTGATCAAGTAGAGGTGTCTTCTAATCATCCTGTAGTGTTTTTATGTCTTCAAATGCAAGAACTTTCAGAATCCAGTCCACATAGATCATGACCTACAAAATCAACTATATGTGACACATTTGGTACAGTTTCAAACTTGGCGTGGGGGCCTTTTACAATATATATATACTTTTCTTTGATATAACAAACAAAATAAAAAATGTGATATTTTTGTTTCGCCAAAAAATTCTAAATTTTATTTACTTTCCATTAAAAATTCTGTCAATTTAATAAAAAATGTTATACAGTCAGTGTCGCCTTGAGTCAGTCAAAGATTACATATTTTATTCCCATGCTTCTTGCATTAATTAATTGCATGAATAACCTTACCTGATTTGTAAAAATTGTTATATCAAACAATTTTTTTAGGAAATTGCAATATTGGTTTTTTTATTTGTAGCCTAATATCTTTGACATTCCATCCCCATGTTAAATTTGTAGCCAGCTTTTTTATCAAAATCGTCGTAGTTGATGTGAGCCACCTACAGATTGTGCTGATCTAAATTACTAAATTATGCCGAGTACACAATCTTTTTAACCAATTCAAACATAGGGAATGACTTATGTTGAGTTATAGCAACTATTATGACCCATCAACCAGGTCAGCAACAAAAAATAAGGTATAAAATAGAATTCTAGACACTAGCGCATTCTGTGATTGGCTCACACAACGACATTCTTCTTAAATAAAAAAATTTGCTACAGCTGGTCCATATAGATGGTAAGTCTACTTCAGTATCCAATAGTCAACGCTAATATTAAAGAAAATTATATGCTGCTACTGAGCTGACTTTATATGCTGCCTTTAGTATGCATTCAGTCAAGCTGCAGTAGTAAGGTATTACTACCAAAGCACCTGAGAACAAAGGCCGAGTTATATTAAACGCAGGGCCGGTTTAACCCATACGCGAACTACGCGGCCGCATATGGCGCCACGAAGAAGTGGCGCCGTGGCGCCAACGGAACATTTTTTTTACGTGAACAACGTAATTTTGTTTATTTTTGCTCAGAGTTCAAGTATTCAAAGCACCACAAGGCATTTATTCTGTTTGTACCGACAGCACTTGAAAATTGTGTATATTTGTACAGCACAACAACTCAAGGACTCAATGCCATTTGCAGGTTCGATTTGAACTGAGCTGACGCTCGGCAGTCGGCAGCGTCAGCGCCAGCGCGACACATATGGGTTTCATTTCACGAATCACTCATGCTCGAGATAAGCAAGCGCGCAGCGCCACTTGTCACAAAGAGAAACTTCCCCTTTCTTTCACTCCTTTCTGCCTCTGATCCTAGAGCAGAGCATTACGTTGTATTGCACTCTTTTAGTTGTATACGTAGGCCCACGATTACTAGAAAAATACCAGTATGGATCATAAACATAAACAAATTACGCTATTGACCCGAATCCTATACAAATAGCATTGAACATATGTTTTGGCAGTTCCATTTAAGCAATGTTTAAATAATGTTTATTTTCGGTCCAAAAACGTCATTTGTTTATGTTTATGATCCATACCGGTATTTTTCTAGTAATCGTGCGTAGGCCTATACCGTGTCGGTATCGTATTGGCATTGTTTTGATGATTCATGATTGTTGATAAGCGAATTATTACGAGTGCATTAAGTTTAATTTATAATTAGCGCATTAAATAAAAAGAAAGTATAAACTGAATTAATGAGTAAAACATATTCGAGTCGAAACTATGAAAACAATGGCAGAAAAAAAGAAACCGTCTGGCACTTATCATAGAAAGCGTAAGGCGAATTTGGAAGAGGAAGAAAAAAAAGCCAAATCAATGAGTAGACTTTTGTAGAAATCATCTGGTGGCGAGTCCAGTCAGCCCAAAGAAGTCACGATAGAAGACGGCAATGACGTAGGTATTTATTTATTTATTTTCGAAGGAAAGATTAAAACAAGCAGCTGATCACTAACGGCAAACATTACGTCATTACCGTCTTCTATCGTGACGTCATGCTTGACGAGCATTACATTACGGCCTGTTTTTTTTCGTGTGTCCTTGGTTTTGCTATAGTTTATATGATGAGTAAAAGTGTATAAATGTCACATTTCTTCGAATAATAAACAGCCTTTTATTGCAAGTTAGTATTCTTCTACCTAAACTTAAAAAAAATTCTTCCCAAAATTATTGGGAAAAAATTTACAAATACGGTTAAGTTATGTTCATGGGTTTGGGGGGGGGGGGGGGAATTCTAAGTGGCGCTGATTTGGGTGTTCGCTTAACTCTGAAAAATTCCTAGAACCGGCCCTGATTACACGGACCTTACCTCGAGAGTTAAATACCAGATTAAGTTAAATAACATAGGCGCCTGTTTAAAACCTTCAAATTTAAAATCTATTGTGATATGATAGTTCAAACTTGTAGATGGATAAGATAATACGATACAAACTTTAAAATTTGAGCTATAGCATACATTTAAATAAGAAGTAAAATACCTTGGTATAAAGAGAGTAGTTTCTGGGATGACAGAATCTGGAAGTTCCACGGCGAGGACTAATACTGACAACACCTTGCAACACCCAGCGACCATCAGTCTCAGTTAGCAGTCCATTACCACTGTCACCATTACATGCTCCTGTACCTATAGTACAATAAACCAGAGGTCACATGAAACATTACAATATTGACAACACCTTGCAACACCCAGCGACCATCAGTCTCAGTCAGCAGTTCATTACCACTGTCACCATTACATGCTCCTGTACCTAGTACAATAATCCATAGGTCACATGAAACATTACAATATTGACAACACCTTGCAACACCCAGCGACCATCAGTCTCAGTCAGCAGTCCATTACCACTGTCACCATTACATGCTCCTGTACCTAGTACAATAAACCATAGGTCAGATGAAACATTACAATATTGACAACACCTTGCAACACCCAGCGACCATCAGTCTCAGTCAGCAGTCCATTACCACTGTCACCATTACATGCTCCTGTACCTAGTACAATAAACCATAGGTCACATGAAACATTACAATATTGACAACACCTTGCAACACCCAGCGACCATCAGTCTCAGTCAGCAGTCCATTACCACTGTCACCATTACATGCTCCTGTACCTAGTACAATAAACCATAGGTCACATGAAACATTACAATATTGACAACACCTTGCAACACCCAGCGACCATCAGTTTCAGTCAACAGTCCATTACCACTGTCACCATTACATGCTCCTGTACCTAGTACAATAAACCATAGGTCAGATGAAACATTACAATATTGACAACACCTTGCAACACCCAGCGACCATCAGTCTCAGTCAGCAGTCCATTACCACTGTCACCATTACATGCTCCTGTACCTAGTATAATAAACCAGAGGTCACATGAAACATTACAATATTGACAACACCTTGCAACACCCAGCGACCATCAGTTTCAGTCAGCAGTCCATTACAACGGTCACCATTACATGCTCCTGTACCTAGTACAATAAACCATAGGTCAGATGAAACATTACAATATTGACAACACCTTGCAACACCCAGCGACCATCAGTCTCAGTTAGCAGTCCATTACCACTGTCACCATTACATGCTCCTGTACCTAGTACAATAAACCATAGGTCACATGAAACATTACAATATTGACAACACCTTGCAACACCCAGCGACCATCAGTCTCAGTCAGCAGTCCATTACCACTGTCACCATTACATGCTCCTGTACCTAGTACAATAAACCATAGGTCAGATGAAACATTACAATATTGACAACACCTTGCAATACCCAGCGACCATCAGTCTCAGTCAGCAGTCCATTACCACTGTCACCATTACATGCTCCTGTACCTAGTACAATAAACCATAGGTCAGATGAAACATTACAATATTGACAACACCTTGCAACACCCAGCGACCATCAGTCTCAGTCAGCAGTCCATTACCACTGTCACCATTACATGCTCCTGTACCTAGTACAATAAACCATAGGTCAGATGAAACATTACAATATTGACAACACCTTGCAACACCCAGCGACCATCAGTCTCAGTCAGCAGTCCATTACCACTGTCACCATTACATGCTCCTGTACCTAGTACAATAAACCATAGGTCACATGAAACATTACAATATTGACAACACCTTGCAACACCCAGCGACCATCAGTCTCAGTCAGCAGTCCATTACCACTGTCACCATTACATGCTCCTGTACCTAGTACAATAATCCATAGGTCACATGAAACATTACAATATTGACAACACCTTGCAATACCCAGCGACCATCAGTCTCAGTCAGCAGTCCATTACCACTGTCACCATTACATGCTCCTGTACCTAGTACAATAAACCATAGGTCACATGAAACATTACAATATTGACAACACCTTGCAACACCCAGCGACCATCAGTCTCAGTCAGCAGTCCATTACCACTGTCACCATTACATGCTCCTGTACCTAGTACAATAATCTAGAGGTCACATGAAACATTATACATTGAAGTCTTTCCTCACATACAATGTACATAGGGCTATTAAAAAATATGAACCCAACTTCATGATCTCAAGAAGTAAAAATTGGATAGACATAAACTTGACACCATTTAAAAGAGGAAATTTCAAATTTTTTTTAATATAGTTCCGTATGTGACCGAAAAAGTTATCGCAACAATGGGCAGCCATTTTGTTTTACCATCTGTTGTTAGTAAGATACCTACCAAGCAGGGGTGCCCAGAGGGGGGGACATTTGTTTGCTAGCTATCATAATGAATGTATAATTTTGTATAAGCAGCCTGCAAAGTGTTTCTAAGTAGTTCACTATCAACACCAACAACATTTTGCCATTCGTAATTAAGATTGCTTCTAAGAATGGTAAAAACAAAAACACACCTTGTCAGGCAATCCTTAATATTCTAGTGTCGGATTTTACTTGATACATAGTCATAGTCATAGTTCTTTATTCATTTTTTTGTACATAGTTTGTACAGTAAATAGCGTCATATATTATACAATACTAAATCTAATTAAAATCTACTATTTACAGTAGTTAACCAAGCAAAAATGAAAAGTAACAAAAATATTTATATATCTACAGTAGGTTATATCTGGGAGGTGGAAAATTCTTCTATGGAGTAAGGGGCCAGTTGTATTAAATATTCTTTCAGCAATTTCCTGAACTTATTTAAATTATTTTCTCTTCTTATGTTTTCTGGAATATATTTAAGAAAAGTATATCCTGTGTAGGTTTGGTTTCTTTTCAAAAAACTTTAATCTATGTGGCAGGATAACCTCATTTCTCTTTCTAGTACTATACGAATGAGCTGGGGACTTAAAATTGATAGTTGTACAATTCTTTCCAATGAAAGTAGTTTCAATAATATATTGCCCGTAAACAGTTAAAATATTTAGATTTTTGAAATGTTCTTTTGCTGGTGCATCATACTCTAACTTAAGCATGATCCTGATTGCTCGTTTTTGCTGTTTTAATATTTTTTCCAAATTTAAATTTTTTGTTGAACCATACAGCGCTATGCAGAACAATATATGAGAGTGAACATGGGCGAAATAAATATTTTTTAATGTTTTCAGATCACAGTAATAAGAAATTTTAGATAATGCGTGAATTCCTTAATTAATTTTGCCCAAAATTGTATGCACATGTTCGTCCCAACTCAGATTTTGATCTACTGTCAGACCCAAAAAATTTATACTTTTTCCGTGTTCAATGTTATGGTTATCATGTATTATTAAAGGTTCTAGTAGTATTTTACTTTAAGCTGTCTTGAACATTACAAATTTAGTTTTTTGTGAATTTAAAAGTAAATTGTGATTTCTCAAATAGTTTCCAAGGTTTTCCAATTCAATGTAAGAACACACTTCAGTTTCTTCTTGTGAGGCAGTTGATAAAACGAGATTTGAATCATCAGCGTAAAGACACAACTTACTATTAAGCTTATAGATTAATGCGCTGTTTACTCCTCTCAGGTAGCAAAGAAAAAGCAAAGGCCCAAGAATTGATCCTTGAGGTACTCCAAACCTGATTGGCTTACAATTTGATGATATTTTAGTAATTTTATTATATTTAGTTAAGTGTGGTCACATATGTTTTGGTGGTTCTTAAACTCCATTATCGTCAGGCTTACATAAAGATCCACTTCTGGAGGTGTCGTAAGAATACGTTACAAACATTAAATACAAAACACGAAACGATTACAGATATGCCTATCAATTCACGCGTGTACATTGCCGTCGGCACGGCAGGACTGGAAGTAAACTGAATCAGGTTCAGGTTATGACGGAGATGGACTGACGTGGTCTCTAGATTGTCGTCTGCGTTTTCAATAGCTAATATTGCACAATTGTAATGACTGAGAAGAGTGTTGAAAATATACTGGAATTCATAGTTAATCGAGTGTTTTCACTCAAAAATTGTGTGCTGTCCCTAGTTTTATGTATTTATAAACCTCAAACTCTTCAAAAGTATTTAATAAATTTCCTTTCGCGCAGTAGGGTACTGTAGAATTTCGAGACCATCGGATCATTTATATCCAGCATATAAATTGGTTATTATTGTTAATAATTTTGAATTATGAATCCCATTATATTTTCAACACTCTCCTTCGTCACTACAATTATTCCAATATTAGCTTTTGATAACACAGACGACAATCCAGAGACCACGTCTTTCCGTCATAACCTGATTCAGTTTACTTCCAGTCCTGCCCGCGGCAATATACACGCGTGAATTGATAGGCATATCTGTTATCGTTTCGTGTTTCGTGTTTAATGTTTGTAACATATTCTGACGACACCTCCAGAAGTGGATCCTTTTATAAGCCTCCGATGGTGGAGTTAAAGAACCGCCAGAACATATGTAGCAAGTAAAATTCGACTCTACCTTACATATATTATTAAGGATTGTCTGACAAGATGCGTTTCCACCATTATTAGTCATAAGAGGCAATCCTGGGGCTATCAAAATGAATTTATTATAAGATTACTTAATCACAAAAACCTTTTATGCTGGTGGCAATTAAGGAATTCTGGGTATTTTGTCCGGCGATTTTTGTAGAAGGAAGCCGAGTGGCGAGCAATTCTGTCCTATTTCGTGACTCTGCCTATAATTTTGAAATAAGATAGCCTACTTTTTGCAAAAGTTTTATTAATGCACCTAAACCTGTTTGAATTCTTAAGCCCCGTAAATTAACGCCACTTAATATATTGTACAGTTACAGTATTGTGTTGGAGTAGAGTAATTCACCGAGTATATTGTTGTACGTTTTGAAGACATTTTCTATTGCAATACTGAGTAACTGTTGGCTGATAATACAGATTCTGAATTTTAAATTGAAAAACTTCTAATTCGTCCATTAGTTAGATATAATGATATATTGTTAAATGACTTTACTATTAAACATTTAATTTGGATTATCAGAAAGTTTGTTTTTCTTTACCTCAACTTTTACTAAATACTTTAAATACTCGTTTTATGAGGTAAAAGGGAAATTTACAGATAAATTGGCGGGGGGAGGGTAGGTTTAAATATACGGCAGTATAAATGGGGGGGATACTCCTTTGGCTTGGGGGGGGGGGGATTGCGCCTCTGGGTTTAGGGGGGATGGGCACCTCTGCTACCAAGCAACATAAGATTTTCTGTGTGGCAGAATTTGCAACAACTGAGTCTCCTATTACAGTGCAGCAGGGCTTTTCACAGAGATTTTGCTGTTAAACCACCAACTAAAAAAAACATAACTCGTTGGTTAGGCAATTTCAAAAAATTTGTGAGACCAGAGATGCTGTCTGGTTTGTGGGATGAGTTCTGCTATCACCATTGACTATAAACAGAACTATCACAGGTATTTCCACCTAAGCTTGCACTTGGGCTTGGAACGGCATTTCCCGTGGCACCGAGGCATCATCATTGTATTCCATGATTGTAGCAAAATCCTGAAATCTTCATAGGTCACGGAAATATCGTATGCCGTGAATACAAACAACCAAACCCAGGTCATCTCCTGCGCTCGTGTAGACAACATCATCGTCTCCAGCGATAGCGGCCAAATCCCCAATATCTCCCACGGTGATGGAAACACCATCTGTTTGCGCAATTGCGGTAAAAACCTAAATATCTGCCGTAGGAAAAATCATTATCTTCGTCTTTTGTGATCAAAGTCACAGAAAAATTAATATTGTCTTCCACTATTGCAGCAAAATCCTGAACAACTCCTTCGGTTGTGTGGAAATCGTTATCCTCTTTCGCAATCGCAGCAAAATATTGAACATTTCGTGCTTCTGCAGGGACATAATCATTGTTAACCAGGGGGAATGCTCTCATCGTCATCTGCAATTGCGAAATGTGTGGATCTTTCAATTGCGTAGGCATAATCTTCGCAGACATGTTCGGTGCTCGTTAAAGCTCGGCTCAATCTTGATTTTCTAACTTTGTGCTAGATGTCTCAAAGCTCGGCTTGGCTTGAAAATCGATATTCTTGCCTAAAAATCAACACTTTCCAAAGCAAACAAATTTTGACCAACCTGTTTTTGGTTCGAGACCTAAAGCCAAAGGGAACATTTTTTTACCTAAAAAACAATGTCTGGGAAACGGAGTAGCCCGTTTAGTGGACTACTGATCGAGTCCATGACCTGGGTGGAAGGACCTATTGTTATAGGAAGTGAAAGTTTGGAGTATGTCAATAACAAGAAAACTACTTGACCAATTATGATATTTTCATGAATAGGGCTAATATGCCACAGGCTTAAGGAAATACTAATTTTTTTATTCAACACTCTCCTAGGGCTCTGCCCTGATGGCTTCCACAGTTTCTGTGCTATTATTATGAATACACTTGGCCCAATTGATTTAAACCAGGTGTTTGAAAATGATTTTCTTGGGGCTTTATCAAAATTGTGGACATTTATTTATGAGTTAATAACTTTTCATACTGCAGATCTATAGAACATATTTAATTATTCTCTTAAGGGTTCTCCCCATTGCTTAGCATGGGTATGGCGGCTAGTGAGAATATAATTTTAAACTCATAATAAAATATGGTATCATGAGCAGGGTCCTGTTGGCCGTTTTTAGTAGGTAATGCAAATATTATACAGAGTGCCACAAAAAACCCAATCTATTTTCTGCAGCACACTGTTCAGCGACAGGTCGTCTTGAGAGTAGTGGGGGTAGGCTCGTTGGAAAGCCTACACGTTGCCATTATCTGTAGTCATAGAGTGACCAATTATATTATGGTGACATAGCAACGTGCGTTTGTTATCGAGCCGCTTTTAAAAAGTGATGATTCAGCCATTGCAACACAGTGGAAGTTCCATGCAGTCTTTTAATTAGGTTGACGTGGAGAGGTTCTGTCACGATTATCTGTATGGATAATCAACAAAACTAAACAGATTGATACACATTAATCTGTAGGGATGAAAATTAAGATCAGACCTCAACATTCATGTAACTGAGCGGTCAGACATGTTCAAAGCAGACGCTTGTTTTTTTTGGGGGGGGGCCTAAGAGGACTGTTTTTCACAGCAGCACAAACTCTATAGAATGTTAGTTGTCTGGCGTAAATAAAGTAACTCACCGCATGATTGTACTATGCGACAAAACTTCTTGTTATGCACAGAACTGCCACTGAGTTGCAATGACTGAATCATTACTTTTAAAATATGACTCGATAACAAACGTGTGTAGCTCAGGCAACCACTGCTCTATGACTACAGATAACGGCAATGTGTAGGATTTCTAACAAGCCTAACCCCACCATTTTCAGACGATCTGTTAGTGAACAGGGCTGCACAAAATAGACCCGGTTTTTTTTCCGCACCTTGTAGAAAATATGAGAATTTGATTTAAAACTTACCATTTATATAACCTGCACAAAACGACGTAAAAGACATAAATTTTCGGAATTGTTTTGGAACATTTTTCATGCATTTAACCATATCAATTATTGGAACTTTCATGTAATTAAGGCTTTCTGGTTGTTCCCTTTTCTCGTTCATTCCCCAGCCTGCAACCTAGAAGACACATTTCATTCATTAATGTTCTTTTCATTCTTAACATAACACAGTTTTGTCCTACCTGTTATCCTCACTCCAAATTATTTTATTTAAGTACAGTAATGCAGAGCCCTAAAACTGTTATAGTGTACCATGTTAAATATATTAACTGTCATTTTCTCTATGTAAATTAACCAATTTATCATAATTATTTAAGTACAGTAATGCAGAGCCCTAAAACTGTTATAGTGTACCATGTTAAATATATTAACTGTCATTTTCTCTATGTAAATTAACCAATTTATTATAAATAAGAAAGGCAATTAAAACCAACAAAATAACACTTCAAGGCTATTTTAAGTACAGTAGAACCTCGATAGTTTGACACTTTGTGGACTTAAGGGGTGTCAAACTATATGGAGTAAATGGAGTTTAGTATACAGGAAAGTAAAAATCAAGTTTTATACAGAAATCACCCAAATTTATTAAATACTAAAAAGCTTAACAATTTCACTGTTCATTAGTCGCAAGTCAGCAATAAATGAAAAATTAATGTTCAAGTCAACTTACATCAAAATAGTAACCATTAAATATCAATACATTAAATATTTTGTGATCTTCGATTGTTTTTCACTCTGATAACAGGAAAGAATTGGTCCCGGTCATTGACCGGCGTACAAAAACAAAATATCGATCGCTAATGTTTAAACGGGTAGCCTCAGCCCGTGTCGAACTACAAGGAGTGTCTAACTATTTAAGGTTTACTGTAGAATTAAATCCAAGTTGGGCTTATGTGTGATTCCCTGCGGTGACTTTGTAAATTCAAGTCCTACTTGGTTTGTGCCACAGTGGAGCTAGTGGCATAATCCACCACAAAAGTACTGAATTCGACCAACGATATTTTTGGAAACTTTTGATATGTAATCACAACGTTTCTCTAACAAATGACAATGGTTTCATCTGTGTTCTAATTATTTATAGGTTTTGCTATTTTTTTCTTATTTTAAGGCGCCTATATATTGATAAAATAAGTATCACATTGTGGATCATTACATTTTATATAACCTGTAAATTATTTATTAGGTACTGAAATCTCACCTCAAACGGAAATAGCAAACATTTCTTGTGAATGCTTACATTTAATGTATTCTTCTACTTTCTACTATACATTCTCTTTGAGCTTGCGAAAACACATGTTGAGTCTTATTCACAACAAATTCCCAACTACACTAAACCGAGAAGGTAACAATGGTAAAATGCATATAAACTGATCAATAGTGAAGTAAAGAAAGAAGGGTTGCCAACGTATGAGCTTGTTTTGTCCCTAAACAATGAACCTTGAAATTTAGGGTTGCGTTAAAAAAACAACATTATTTATAATGGCATGCCAGAATATTTTTTTTACTGGATTAATTGCCACTGTATTGCTTACTAACTAAAATTATTGTTATTTAAGAGCAAGAGGTTTAAAACGTATAGAACTTACGACTCCACTTGTGAACGGTGTTACAGAAACATTTCCAACTGAATCGGGCAAACAAGCTGGTAAGATACTTTCAGACAACTGAGCAGGTGTCTCCAAAACCAGAATGGCAATATCACTGTTGTAATAGTTTGTTGCCTCTCTAAATACTGGCAGGATGTAAACTCTTTTAATCTAAACCCACATACAGTGTTAGTCAGTATTACAGTAGAAAGCTTGAAAACAATGCTTTACTCAGTAAATGGTTTGGGTAGGTTTGAGCATTCCAGAGTGTTACATTTAGAACTCACCCTATGAATAGTGACATAACAAAGTCGACACGATGATTTAAAACGTCATTAAATTTATAAAAGTTAATTTGTTAGTTATTCTTGTTTTTGATTTTTACTCCATTATTATAGTTAAACTCATTTGCCATTTTTAACCAAAGAGCTATCATAGGTTCTTGTACTACTGTATTTAGTGAAAATTATTGAATATTATTACGTAAAGTTTCACTGGCTCATGTACCATAAGGCCGCCACGTTCGTATCAAGAAAACTACATAAATCGTCAATTTATATGGTGTGCTGGATTCTTGAGGTTCAAACCAAATCCTCCGCCATTTTTTAAAACAATTGTTTAAACTAATTAAAATAGATTCAGAAGTTTGTACTACATTTTATTCAACCAGAGACGACTCGACTGAGTGTACTTGTATGTATAAAACAATCTGAAAGAATTCTGTTTTGGCTTTTGAAGACCCTAAAACAAATCAGTATAAGAATAATGTAACTCCAACTACAGCAGTCTGTGTTAGTATTGCCGTGACAATAATTTCAACTGTATGGGAAAACACCCTCTAATAACTAATAACTAATAACTTAACTGGCTGTTTTTAATTTACCTTGAATACTTGTGGATGGTTAACGTTTGTTGGTAGCGTGCGAGGAATATTTCCTAGAGAAATTAGCATACTCTCTTTTTCAATATTCCATGTACAATGAGCCGCTGAAATCATACATTTCATTCATAAATTATGTCATACAAAAACAGTTGTAAGTGATGACACAGTCCTGTGGTGAAGTGGAGTAGTATGAGTGTAAATGAAGATACCTGGGCTCTATATACCTTCCTCTCACCACTACCAAATCACGCACATTTCCAGTCGTTGTTCAACTCTACTCCAAGGAAGCTAGCTACCTCGTCAAAGTGCACAATATTACCTTAGCTGCATATCACAGCCAGCTTTTATGTTATTCTAAATTTGGGATATTGATTTCCAGACCACGACCATTGGTGAACCTAATAACTTACATAATTAATTTACTCTCTACCCTAACCTACACCCTTCCCCAACCCCTACGAACCTATCTAGACATGGTCTTAATGCTAGTACTTATCTGGTCAGTTGAACTGTTGCTGGTCGACACACTACTGTACTGTGTACTCTCGTCGCGTGTGCTTGCCGCGGGGAGACTGCGCGCGCAGTTAAGTCACGTGACTTGCGCTATTGTAGCGAGTCGCTACAGTCCCTTTTAGCTTACTTTAAAAACTACAGATCATATTTTACCCGCTGAAACCTTAAAATAGTTCTCTTTTGTTGAGAAATGTATTTAAATATCGTCTTAGGGATCATAACTTTCAAAAAGATATGGGTGAATAGTGAAGTGGTTCACGGTTCTAGAATCAGGGATAATATATACAAACACAGGGTTATTAAAAAGCCTAAAGATCTCTTCACTTTTTAACAAACCACAACAGGTACCGGTACTAATAAAGGTTTCAGTTATCAGTATAGTTGTCTGTCAAAATGTTTTGTTGCAGTATAATTAACTACAACTGTTACGTGCTGTTGGAAAAATAGTCAAGACTTACCTTTCCACCGACGCTGTGTCACCTGTATGAGCCATGTAATGTTTGAGTATATAACAGTCAACCAGTTTTAGTAATAGTAAATGTTAATTTTTTTGCGTGTTTATCCTACTATCCTACTAATATTATAAATGAGAAAGTTTGGATGGATGTATGGATGTATGTTTGTGACAAGTGAACGCATTAACCACTGGACGGATTTTGCTGAATTTTGGCATGATGATAGCTCACATTCCCGATTAACATATAGGCATATTCTTATCTCAAAAATCCTTTCGGGCTCCGCCCTAGTGGCTCTATAGTTCCCCATGTTAACCTTATGAGTATTCATATTAAAAGGGAATTAAATAATTTAGTCAGCTGTTTCAACTAAAAAGTTGTTTCTATGATATGCAAAAGCATTAAAAACTTACAAGGATTACCAACAGGGTGCAGCACTATTATTTTTTTTTAATTTACGACAACAGCTAATTTGCAACCAAAAGGTGAGTGAGCGTAGCGAACGAACTTCATCCTGAAGGCAAGTGAGCGCAGCGAACGAGCTCACTTATGAAGTAAAACGGGGCAAAGCCCGCGGGTACAGCTGAGTGAGCGTAGCGAACAAACTTCAACCTGGAGGCGAGTTAGCGTAGCGAACGAGCTAACCTGAAGGCAAGTGAGCGCAGCGAACGAGCTCCAACCTAAAGGTGAGTGAGCGTAGCGAACGAACTTCAACCATGACGTGATTGAGCCATGCGAACGAGCTCACTTATGAAGTAAAACGGGGCAAAGCCCGCGGGTACAGCTAGTATATATATTAATATTATAAATGAGAAAGTTTGGATGTATGGATGTATGTTTGTGACAAGTGAACGCGAAAAATACTGGTCGGATTGGGCTGAAATTTGGCATGATGATAGCTCACATTCCCGATTAACATATAGGCATATTCTTATTTCAAAAATCCTTTCGGGCTCCGCCCCAGTGGCTCTGGAGTTTCCCATGTTAACCTTATGAGAAATGGAATTATTGAATCTTAACAGCTGTTTCAATTAAACAAGTTGGTTCTGTTCTATGATGTTCAATAGCATTAAAGTTACAAGGATTACCAACAGGGTGCAGCACTATTATTTCTTTTACATTTATGACAACAGCTAATTTGCAACCAAAAGGTGAGTGAGCGTAGCGAACGAACTTCAACCTGGAGGCGAGTTAGCGTAGTGAACGAGCTAACCTGAAGGCAAGTGAGCGCAGCGAACGAGCTCCAACCTAAAGGTGAGTGAGCGTAGCGAACGAGCTCCAACCTAAAGGTGAGTGAGCGTAGCGAACAAACTTCAACCAGGACGTGATTGAGCCATGCGAACGAGATAATCTTGAAAATTAAGAAGTTTAATGGGGCAAAGCCCGCGGGTTACAGCTAGTTGAACCATATTTTTGTCCAGGCAATGAATGCTCAAAAAAGGGTAAGTTATAGAGGGAAAAGTTTGGAACACAATTTCTGACTTTTTAACTTTGTTTAGTACATTTGTTTGATCCAGTCTTACCTTTGGTATTGGCAACAGACGCATCTCCAGTGGAACTTGGCGCAGTACTGTCACATAGATTTCCAGATGGAAGTGAAAGACCTTTAGCCTTCGCTTCAAGGACACTGACAAAACCAGAAGAGAAATGTAGCCAAATTGACAAAGAGGCCACTGGAATTTATTGGAGACTAAAAAAGTTCTTCCGAATTTGCTATGGACGTAAATTCATTCTAGTAACGGATCACAAGTCGTTAGTTACAATATTCAATCCTGATAAAAACCTACCTTCTATGTCAGCTACACGACTTTTAACTATTCAGACTTCTTATCAGGTTTTGACCACAAAATAGAGTTTAGACAAACAAATAATCATGGAAATGCGGACGTCCTTTCAAGATTCCATATTAAGAAACATTCAAATGCCATCATGCATGACTTATGTTTTCTATATGAACCAAATTGCAACGATCAACCTAAACCATAACCTAATTGCTCAAGAAACAAAAAATGACGAAAACATGTAACACTTGCTACTAGCTTTGGAAACTGGAAAATCGCTGGAGCACTATGGTTATCATAACAGTGAGCTATGTCTACATGATGGTTGTATCATGAAAGGTTGGAGGGTGATGATTCCTAGATCTTTACAAAAACATGTCCTCGAAGAACTACATTTTGGTCATCTGGGAGTGGTAAAAACCAAAGCCTTAGCACGGAGCTTTTACTACTGGAAAGGTATGGACATAAAGATATAGAAGATAATATTTCAAAATGCGGACAGTGCAGGGAATAACAAAATTTACTGAAGAAAGAACTAGAAAGAATTAGCCATCCCTGGGAGCCAGCAAGTGCACCATGGGAGCAGGTCCACATAGATTTTGCTTGGCCAACCAACGGAAACTACTTTCTGTTAGTATAGTAGATGCATTCAGCAAGTGAGTTGAAGTCATACCTACGAAGAGTATTACATCTTCATGGACAATCAGAGAGCTGCGTAAAATATTCACCACCTTTGGACTACCAAGTGTTATAGTCTCTGATAATGGTCGTCAGTTCACCTCTTCTGAATTAGTAACTTTTTGAAGAAATGAAGAAATTTGGACAAAATGACAGCTCGACAGCTCCTTACCATCCTTCTTTGAACATCCAAGTCAAACGCTTTGTACAAACGATAAAGAAACTAATCAACTGTATGTCAGACGAACCTGGCACAATGGAAGAAAAGCTTCACCAACTGCTGATGGAAATACGTCAAGCTCCGAATTCAACTGGCAACAGCTCATACTTCTTGATGTTCAATAGAAGGATCCGCACGTACTTAAGTTTACTGTTACCTAAGAGAAAGGAAGAAACAAAACAACCCAAAGGAATAGTGATATACTTCAAACCAGGTGAACGAGTACAAGTATGGAACTATTCCGGAAAATGTAAACGGAGTTATGGAAATATCCAAAGTAGAAACGGTCACATTCACTATTTTTTCAAGATGGATGATGGACAAATCTGGAGACGCCACATCGATCAAATGTTGCATGTTAGGGTGAGACCACTGTAATATATTTTGCTTCTGTACTTCTTATATTAATCCATATGTTAATTATTTACGTTTTTCAAATTATAATAAAGGGTGTTTTTAAAAGAATACCGGGATTTCAAAGGGTCGTTGCTCGGGGACTATTCAAGATAATTCAACGATTTGAACGTCAAATTGAAGGGAAAAGAATACAGTTTTTTTCTCATTCTTTCATACGATTCGGAATGATTTAATAAAATTCAGATTTTCATCAATCTTATATGAGCGTAAAACTGGCAAAGTCTGTATGCTTAGGGCGATCGTCGGGTTTGTCTGATGTCTTAACTGAATCTTTTCGGTACAAAGACTCTATCTTTTATAGATAACATCATAAAGTGACCAATTTAGGTTTGTTAAACTGAAGACTTTGTCGGGCAATCGATTTTTTCCGGCCTCTGATGCAGAATTGTCGGATTTCTTTGACTATGTCATCGCTTGTTTTTAGCTGGCCAGGTGAATGTCTTTTCAAAACACTACGGTGCCACGAAACTCATTAAACCAGCTTCAAGTTTCTTTATCATCAAGTAGATTTAAATTTATTTTAATTTAGCAATGGATATAAACTCTGCGAACTACAGATTTCAATCTGTGCCTTCTGTTGCACCGTAAAAGTCGTACTGGCGACTGGCGTCAGGCGTATGAGTCACAATAGCGGCCTATCACCCCGCACCTGTATTACGCATGCCAAAGTCAAAGTTTCCTCCCTTGCCACACGGGTTACAAAACTTAGTTATTTTAGCTTCAATTTGACGTATAAAACGTTTAGTTACCTTGAATAGTACCTATCCAAACAATTACAATTTAAAATCCCGGCATTCTTTTAAAAACACCCTATATTTACTTTTCAGTTATGAATAAATAGTTATGCAAGTTACAGGTGCTTGTATTTATTAAGAATATTTCACTGTCACTGACAGCATTTTTGAATAAGAAAGAGCAGGGAGTCTACTTTAGGTCCAATCAAATATTATAAATCGTATCAAACCTTTGTAGGCCTACTATTAAATAAACTTATGGAGTTAGTTAACAGACAAAAATGTTCAGTAGCAATCAGAAATAATCAATACCACAACAAAAGTGTAAAAACTATAGTGGGGAGAATTTAATTTCAATCTAATATCAGCTTGTAAGACTTACATGGCTTCGCTTGGAGTGAAAGCTAACCTCACCTGTAATTACAACATTGTCAGCAATGAGGGTCCCTCCACAGTTGAAACTCCACTGTTTGTCAAAACGGAGGTAGAGAGCTGCTGCCCATGGGAACTGACCTAACACAGCACCCTTGCCATGCATGATCAGTGGTATAGCTTCTGAAGACTTGACCCCACACTCTGCATTCAGATGTACTTGTGAGTCGTGAGTATACACTCCTCTCTTGTGGATACATCAAAACCAGATCTTTGTTCAAACTATCAGTCATTAATCATCAAGCAATCATTAACATACTCTAAAGTTGTGTTTGCTCAAACCAGAGGATTTATTGAATCAAAACCATCAATAAGATAAACACTTTTGTATTAATCCCAATGTAATTTATTTAGAAACTAGTTGTGTGCCCGTTCTACGTATCGGAATCTTGTAGTAAGTTGAAACCTTATATTCAGAACAGGAGTTGGTTTGCATATTTAGTGTGCATTTTTCCAGATATGCTGGCCAAACTATTACCGTATAGGCTTATATATACATAAACCTTCACAAATACAATATCTGACAGTTTCAAAGCCAAAACGAATGCTTCGCAATTAAATGTCACCCGATCGTGTTAGTCCATATTTTATATCTAATGATAAAAGGAATTGCTTTATTGATCTATGAGGCATAGCCCTAAGGTAGGCCTGTAATTGAAAGTTACTTTTCACACTGGTTAATAGTAGTTAAAATACTACCTCAACCTCACTACTGCACACTTTATTCGGGTTGAAATTTTCTTTAACAAAGGTGCTCTTTTCCACGAAACACTGAGAAATAAGGACATTAATGTGTTAGCAACAAACATACACACACACACCCACCCATACACACACACCCACACACACATACACACACACACACACACACACAAATACAGAAGTGAATAAGGGGATTTGCTACGCTTAAACCGAAGCAAATTACAAACAAAATAATTATTTGAAAGTTTTGGATAGTGTCATAAAATTTTATGATAATCGTTTTAGGCCTAATCAAACTGTAAAATTGGTGTAAATCCGTTGACAAATATATAAATAAGTAAATAAATACACCGTCCACAAAACATTTACCACGTTTAACAACGCCAAGCTTTAAAAATTCATGATGGTTTGCTAAAAAAATCATTCACTAATGTTTTATAATTTTATTAGCATAAACTAACATTTTGAAGTCCAGATAGAAAACACAGAAATTATTCAGTAAGACACCAATTAAATTTAATAAGAAATAAGGTGCAGCACTAACGATACTGGTAACTTTAGTTGTAAATAGTGATGTGTTTGTACGTAAAAATTGTTCTTACTGCTACCACCGGTTCTAAGGAATTTTTGGTAGCAGTACCAAAAACCAACGTTTACATTTAAGAAAAGAACTATAGTAGGTACTTACGACCAATTCAAACTGTCCTTCTAGTCAAATTGTATTATAGGTGTTAATCCGTTGGAAAATATATAAATAAATAAATACACAGGCCACAAAACATGTAACATGTAACGTTAACAACGTAAAGCTTTAAAAACTCACTATGGTTTGCTCAACAAAACTTTCACTTGATGTGGTGCACTTCCGAAGTTATTAATCTCCCTTGGTTTTAATTTTTTTTTAATTTTTACAAAATCAAAGTTATTTCCCATTTAATAGTATTATTTTTAAGCAACTTTTAATGTTAACAAATTAATGACAGTTTGAAGAAACCACCTTTATCCAAACGAAGGTTTCTTATTTAAAAGATTACGTAATCTCTAAACGATAATCAGAACATATATCTAGCAAAAATTCGGAGGAAATGTGACAAAAAACGCACAAATCTGGGGTTTTGGACGTTTGTAGTTTTACTTCCTAAGTAAGTAGGAAAAGCCGATATCGTTGTCGAAATGTAAGTAAAGTAGAAACCAAAAGTGACACATTGGAAAAGCGAGTTCAGCTACATCTGTAAGTTAAACCTCTGTTACGATCACAGCGAAATCAGAAAGATTTTCCAAGATCGCAGCAACATCCACGATCACCCACTGCAGTTGTGATTTTTTACTTTGCACTTAACACAACTGTCCTTGAAGCGCCGTCAGTGAGTGGAAACCTTTTTTGTAAGCTATTGGTGACGATGATTAATAAAATGTAAGTTTCCCAGCATTAATACAACACAGATTCACGGTATTTACCCAGGTTATCAAAACTCAAGAACAATCGTTGCACTTGCGATTAATTAAGCCGGTTAAGTAAAGCACAACGTTTTTAATCTCACTTGGTTTGGATGTGCTAACAAAACTTGATCGGAAATGGTTGCGGTATTTGTAAACAAATTTTAATGTAAACATATCAGGGCAAGCTAGAAGTGAGAACTAATCCAAACAGCTGATCGTTATTTCATAAAATGTAATAGTAAACATTGGGAGAAAATTTGACGAAAATCGAACAAAATTGGGTTTTTGATGGTTCGTTATTTTGTTTTCAAAGAAGCGAGGCCATGTTTTTATAGCCAAAGACACTCTAACCAATCCAAGTAAATACAGAAAAATTATTAGAACCTTGATCGGTACTCTTGTTTTCTAGGAGTAGGCCGCGTAAAATGACATTTTGGCTTCACAGACGGAATCACAGAATGGACAAACAGACAAACAGACAGACAGACAGAAATTGAGATGAGACTCGTTTTGGCTTTCTTAGGCTATGAAACGTAAAAATAACCAAAAACTGCATGATTCTAAGCAATGTACAGACAAAACTGTAATTTTATTTATATAGATAATCATGAAAAATATGATTATTTATGTATGTAATGAGTGTGCTTTATATCTCATATACTAAAAAACTTTTGCAAAACTTATGACAGCTAGCCTGACCATATTACTGGACCAAATTACACGCTGTTGGTAGCAAATGAAAGATATTTTCCTGTAGATGTGCAGAATCCCTTTATAAATTAAAATAGGTTCAAATCTAGCACAAAAAATGAATTTAAATTTAAAGAAATTAACACACCAACATTATGAGTTGCCATGTTGGTGACAAAATAACAACAAAATATAAACAGAATACCCCGCCTCAGCAAACCTGCAGACATTTATTCTCAATTGAAATAGCATTAGTTTAACGAGTACTTAGGTTTGCTGCTACAAGGAAACAAATAAAGTGTGTGTTTTTTTTTGTAAAATATTAATAGCTTAGTATAAAATAAAAAAAAACTTGCCAATTTGGATCAGAATATATCCATAAACAAGCAAACTACAATATTTCACAATATTCTCAATAAGAATAATGTGGGAATTTTAAATTTCCAATTTTTTTAATTTTCTCCGTTACCAATAATTGTAAAAAAAAAACACTTTGATATGCTAAATTGTTAGTTTTTTTAAGCTCTTTAGAAAGGTTAAGAGAGAAATTTTGAAATTTTGTGTTTTGAGGGTCAAAAATGAGGAAACCAATTTTTAACTCCATAAAAACCCCCGTAAAACCCCGTTCCCATGGTCCGATCATGCTGGTTCGCGAACTCATAAGTTTATCCCGCCTTAGCCTACATGTTTAAACCAAATTTCATCAAAATCGGACAAAAATTACTCAACTTATCGTGTTCACGGACGTATATATATGCATATATAAATATTTGAAGGAATGGTGTTTTTGGCCTCTGGGGTCATCAAAATGAAAAAGTAAATCGGTCCCAGGACTACTTTAAGTAAGTCTTATCGTGCCACCTACACTCTACAGTAATAGCTACTTCCCTATAGGGAAATTTTCTAAAAAGGATAGGGAATCTTTTGAAATAAAAACAAAGTTCAACAAGTTTGAACTTATGGTTAGCTGGTTTCAGTTCCGGTTCTACCAACAAATGAGAAGTCACAAACAGGTAGGCGGAAATATCACAAGTTTTTTATAAGCCTAGATGCCCTCAACTTAAAATACTTTTGTTTGTTTCTGTTTGTCTTTGTTGCTGAAGTACAACTAGGGAGTAAAGTGTGTGATAAACAGTAAATGTGCTTCAATCATAGATGTATTCAAAATTCAACAGTGGTACATGGATATGCTTTTTACCATGTAATGGCAAAAACTCCAAGAACTAGGTTTTGGTCTTATTTTTAAATTTAAAACAATTTTAAGAATAGGCCTTTAAATTTTATTACAGCTATAGTGGTGAATATAAATACGAGCAAATTTTATATCAAATTAAATTGATTGATACCTTGGAATTAGATTTATAAATACAACTATTTATAATTTATGGAAATTTAGCAGTTATTAATTTCATCCAAATTATAAAAAAATTAAAGAATTTAAAACAACCTTAGGCCCCTTTTATGCACCTTTGACATGCAGCAAACATAGGATAACTATTGTTGCCGTGAGAGGACCCCATGGACCTTGTTTTATTTCCGGCCGGGGGCCTCAAATCACCATCTAGCTGAGGGCCTCCAATGGAGCAAGACAGGGCCTGGAACTGCCTCAATACTTTGGGATTAAGTTTTGGTGGGAGAGGCCTAATCAGTATTTTATGAAAAATATTTTCCCCTATATTGGGTAATCTTCAGTGTAATCTTTGCTCAACAGTTACAAATGATGTTTTTCCCTTGGTACTGTATTTTTAATTTGCTAGTATACCGGTACTGTGGATGGCTTGTTATGAACACATGTTACAAGTTCTTTGTTTACCTTTTCCTTGTTCGACCAAAATAGTTATACAGCAACCCATATGAACAATGTTAATTTTTTTAATTTTCGAGTTAGTTGTGTAATATGAATAGTGAAATACGAATTTTCCTGCAGAGGCAGTGGCTGTCGCCAATCACCCACATGTGGACGTTTGTGTTTTTAGGGCTATAAGTCCCTGATTCCAAAATTTAGTCAAAATCCTAACCTACAGATATTTAGAAGTTTAGTCCAAAATTTTGAGTTATATATTACATACAGACAATCAGACTATCAGACATTGCTTGTATTAGAGAATAGGATTAGGTTTAACGACTTAACGAGTAACGAGTAGTGCTGCTACTCGAGGCTTTTAGTAGATCAGTGTGTTTTTATTAGAATTTAATAGCTCAGTATAAAATAAATGAATTTGCCAAGTTTGATCATAATATATCCATAAACAAGCAAACTACAACAGTTTACAATATTCTCCAGAAGAATAACATGGGAATTTAACATTTACAATTTTTTGGAATGTTTTTTGTAACTAATAAGCATACACCAAAAATTTAACATAGAGCCTAATATATATTATTTGATTTTTTTAAGCTCTTCAAAGTGGTCTAGAGAGATATTGAAAAATTTTGTGTTTTGAGGGTCAACCCAATTTTTACCCTTAAAAAACCCCTGTTCCCATGTGATCATGCTGGTTCACGAACTCATTCAAGTTTATCCTGTCCCGTATCTTCAAGCCAAATTTCATCAAAATTGGAAAAAAATTCCTGGAGTTATCGTGTTTACGGACACATAAATCTAATATATATGCAGGATGTTCAAAAAGGGTAGGGTAGGGACATAATTCACGTAGTGATTACTTTGATCAAAATAAAGAGAAAATCAAGAATATTTTTTTTCTAAATCCCTTTGCCAGATATCCTCCATTATGTATTTTTTAAATAAACATTTTTATCTTAGGATTGTTCCAACCAATCTTCAGGGCCGTATTTCCCTAACGGTGGTTGCCGGGGGCCTCAAAGATCTTCACTATTTCGCCGTTAACATGGGAGTTGTAAAAATTCATCCGTTATCGTGGATGATGTACAGGATTGTATCGTGACCGCGTTAGATTGTGATGATGATGTCTACACAGCCATGGGAGATGTTCATGTTTTTCGCTATCGCACAAAACTACGATCACGTTTTTGAGACCGCGGTAGACGAAGATGACGTTTATACCGCAGGAGATTTATACTGCTTTCAGAGTAAACTAATGATTTTCCCCGAGCAAAGCTCGGTCCCCAGGTACTGTTATTTAAATAGGGAATAAATATGTCTTATTAATGGAAAATATTTTAGTAAAAATGTAATCAGACAAGTTGAAATTTGCTTAGTCTGCAGGTTTGCTGTGGTGGGGGAATTTTTAGTATTTTTAATTATTTATTTAGTTGTTTACCTATATAATTTTTTAGTTATTTTAAAATGGCCGCCATTTTGAAATTTCACATTGGTACCAAGATAATTTTTGTTTAATAGCTACTTCCCTATAGGGAAATTTGCTAATATTTCCCTATAGGGAAATTCTCTAATAAAATCATTTGCAGTTGCAGCAATAAAAATTTTATAGGCTAAAGACTTTTTTATTAAAAAAAACAATTTAAGATACAAATAAGAAATCATATGCTTATGAAGCAGTGTGTGTATGAAACACATAATATAGGTTTTTATAGCTGCTAAAATATATGTCCAAACAATTTGAGAGGTTTGAATTGCTTATTTCTTTTAAACGTGTTTGAGTTACTTCTATACAAAATGCCTCTAACATGGATCTCACATACCTGGTTTACATTTTATGGGAACGGTCCAACCTCCATCACTCTTGCACATAGACATTTTGTTGGGTGCTTTGTAATATAGGGGACACGAGAACCAGACCAGGGTACCTACTGGTAATGTTCTGGTACATTCAAGGGTGCCAACCTTGTCAAAACAAATCATAGACTCGACCCTCAGATCCCTCATTATCTTGCAGCCAAAATGTTCTTCCACCTCATCAGTTTCCTTCAAGCTGTAAGTATAAATACATCTTTGAGTAGTTTTATCATAACAATTATGTAATCATTTTTTTCTTCATTCTAAATTGTAGTTTAAATAACAACGATTCTCATAAATCTGGATGTTCATCTTGGATCTTCTGGAAACATCATACCGTACTCTAAAAACAACCTTGACTAAATATTGAATGAATTTTTTTAAAGTTAACATATTCAAATCAAACAAAGCAATTGCACCTGCAATTCATTTCTCAATAATTTTCCATGATGCAAAATCGCCCAAAAGTGGCTCTGTGGAAATTTAGGGACAAAATTGTGATTTTTCACCTTCAGAATAATACTTAACATAGTACTTATATAGCAAGCATATAAGAAGCGTTGACTGATAAAAACAATTAGGTAAGTGGAAGGAGGCAATTAAAAAGGAATAGCAGCTATAAGAGTGCTCCACTTTTTATAAAAAAGGGGAAAGTGGTGGTGGGCGGTTAGCATGAGCAGATAATGTTCTGTACATTCAATTTGCAGTGGGGTATTTCTTACCAATGTATTATTATAATGCAATATAGTTTTGCGATTTTAATATTAGTAACTTTAGGGACTTACGTAGTAAGATTGTTTGGGTAAAGTTTTTTGTTCAAACCATTTATTTCTGAATAGCCACTATTTTCATCTTGCAACACAACTGCATTGATACAGGAAACTGCAAAACAACAATAATACATTTTCAACAATAAATATTTATGCCAGGGTCCAATTAGACACATATACTTTGGGGGGCAGGAGCATATATTATCAGATGACTTTGAAGTAGACAATAATACATGAGCTTATAAATTGTGGGGGACTCTGGGAGTTTACCCGGGGAAGGGAGGGGACTAGACAATAGGGTACCTTGTATGCAGACTTGGTGTTCAGCAGACTGGTCCACACCAACTCTCACTTATTAGCTGCCATTGGGTGTTGGTCAGGCCTGGACTGGGACAATTAGGGCCCTCAACTGTATGCTGTGAATGGGCCCTTTACCCTGGATTATTTTTTTTAATTAGGTGATTGGAAACAATCTTTTCCTACAGTTACCTAAATGTACATGTTCTCTCACTGATTTGAGAAAGCAAAGTGGCCAATTCGCTCATCAGTGAGACAATGTTAACAACGTGAAGGCAAGTTTCTTTACCAATTTATTTGTTTTATGGTAGCTGTAGGAAAAATGTAATGTGTAACTCAAGTGCAAAGTGCAATCGCCTCACTCGAGAAACCATTCTTCACTCGCCTACGGCTCGTGAGTAAGGATTTCTCTCGAGTGAGGCAATTGCTCACTTTGCTCACTAGTTGCACAAATAACTATTGTAAAAAGCCAATCAGGCAAATGAAAGTTCTATTAGTCTGCATGTTTGCTGTAACAGAGGTATTTAATCTTGTAACTTGTAATTTGAATCTTGTAATGAATATTTAATTCCAAAAATGGCAACCTAAGGTTTAAGTGTGATATCAATAAAAACTACTCCTATATTAAACCTAAACTAAGCAATTAAACCTAAACCCGGACATCCAAAGTGAAAGCACACTTTTGACTCCAAGTTGTTCAGTACAGCCCACATAATGTTCAGTAAAAAGTTACACCTATTTGAGCATAGGGTTTGGGGTGGAGGGGGTAAAAGTTTGAAAAATAACACTTTTTTGGTTTTAAATCTCTCAGAATCTACCTATGCATTTTAGTGCAAAACAAAGTACACTTCCTATACAAAATAATCTTTACAAAATTCTTAATTCTTAACAAAAGAGTGGTTCATTATCTTGTTAAAGTGAATGGTTACAGAGAGCTACAGAATCTTAGATTCTTTCACTTTGGATGTCTGGGTTTAGCTATTTATTTGGCTAATTGCACTGTACTATATGTGTCTTATCAAAAATATTATTTTATGATTTTATACTCACAAATGAAAATACTAATCAAAATCACTGCAAAATGTGTTGACATTTTCATCCAACCTTATATAAAACCACAGAGCTACTTGACACGGAAAACAGGTTAGTAGTGACCTTATTCTTTTAACAGAACATACTAAATAAACTTTTGTTTCACAAAATTACACGCATCTGTCATTAGAAAGCACCAAGGCTTTTATTTTTCCCTTATCATCAGAAGAATAAACGGTTATTACCTTATACATACATCAAAGACAATTGTTGTGAGTTTACTTTATTCAGTTCACTGCATTGATTTACAAGTATTTACTTTTATGCCACAAAACACAATGAGATGAATATATTCATCTTCAGATATGATAATTAAATGTTAGTCAAAATTAAATGTGTTTTGAGATGTCATGAGGTAAACACGTTTGGGCTATTTATTAAATTAAAAGTGTGTTTCATCAGATTACCATCACAAATAAAAATTTTTTTAAAGTTGGACAAGGATGATAAAATCTTAAAGCCTCAGCTGATCGGCTGATCCACTAAGTGTATGATGCATGCAAACCTTTTACTTTACCTTAGAATTTATTGTAAACTAGCTGTTTTGCCCGCTCTTAGCTCGGAAAATGTTTTGTAAAAAACAGAATAGTACCTACAGTACATCATTTACATTTGAAATATTTCTAAAATTGAGATTATTAATCATCAAACAATGGGTATTAATTCCTAATTCCTAGCACTTTGAAAGATGGCAAACCAAAGGAAAAGTTACAGGATGGGAGTGATGCCAAGATTTATATGATTTCCCCTACATATTTTTTAGAAGAATATTTCTTTTATCTAAAATAAAATTAATTGAGAAAATATAAAGATTAATTAAATTGTATTTATAAAGTACTAGCTGTTGTACTCGTGCTTTGCAACTGGAAGAGGGCACAAAATAGAAACATTTTTATCCGTTGTATAAAATAGTTACACCCCCTAATTTGTTAGGCATTGATCGTAAAATTGCATATGCAAAAAGGAAATACCATAATGGTTGAATATGTACTGGGGTAACTATAGGATTAGCGGGGGTAAAGTTATCCAGGTCAGATCCGCCTACGCTTTTAGAAACAAAATTCAACTTTAATGACCTTTATAGAAACTTTTGTGGCTTTAAATCTGGCAAGTAGTGGAAACCGTAATTTTGGTTTTGATAAAAATTTTAATTCTTGTGTAGGCTGATGAAATAAGAATATCCCTGCCGCAGCAAACCTGCAGACTAAGCGAATTTCCATTTACTTGATTGGATGTACACTAAAATATCTCCTTAAAAATATCACTAAATTATTCCCTATTTATAGCATTAGTTTAACAAGTACTTAGGTTTGCTGCAACAGGGAGGGTTTGAAAGTGTTTTTTTTTTATGTTAATACATTATGTAGTTTTATGGTGGAAGGAAAATACATAGGTGTGCTATTCCCGTCATATGCTGACGTCACTCAGATTGCAAACACAAATTTTACCATTTAAAAAAAAACAATAACAGTCAATCAAAACAATTATACACCTACCGGTACTTATATGGCAATAATCAGGTGATTTTTTTGTTTGCAATCTGGGTGACGTCAGCATATGACGGGAATAGCACACCTATGTATTTTCCTTCCACCATGATGTACTTTAGTATGAAATAAATGCATTTTTCAAATTTGATCAAAATATGTTCATAAACAAGCAAACTAAAACAGTTATTTATTCTCCATAAGAATAACAAAGGGATTTTAAATTTACAATTTTTTGAATTTTTTCCGTAATCATTAGGCGCAAAATTATGCTTCAATATACTAAATAATTTGTTTTTTAAGCTCTATAAAATGATTTGGAAAGGAATTGCAACATTTTATTTTTTTAGGGTCAAAAATTGGAAAAACCAATTTTTACCCCATATAAAACCCCCCATAAACCCCCGTTGCCATGGTTCAATCATGCTGGTTCGCGAACTCGAATAAATGTAGGTTTACACATATATATCAAAGAACAGCTGTTAAGAAATTCCTTTTAAATATGAAAAATCATAAGGTTAACATGGGAAACTCCAGAGCCACTGGGGCGGAGCCCGAAAGCCCGATCAGAATAAAAACTCCTTAGTTTTCATTTGTAAATATTAGATTATGTAGATCTATTCTTAGTGATATAACAACAATTGCAGAAATGGACATCAATTTAATCAACAATCAATCTAATATTTGAGGAGTAATATAATAAGGAATAACATTAATAAATTAAATACCCCCGCCGCAGCAAACCTGCCGTCTAAGCGAATTTCCATTTGCCTGAAATGATTTTCAATTAATCTATTTAAATAGCATTAGGTTTAACAAGTACCTAGGTTTGCTACAGTTTGCTGCTATCTTGACTCGCTTTGACACAATTGTGAGCCAATAATAGCGTTGAAGTTTTGCGGGTCTGACTTAGGGGAGGTACGATTGAGGCATTAGTTCAAAATTCCTCCGTGAACAGCGCTGTAGTAGAGAGCACTTTGGCAATGATAAGGTTTACTAATCGCAAAAATAGTTGAGTTCATAAAATAAAATTTTAAATGCCTGAAATTCAATTTTATTATTTTTTAATTATAAAAACTATCATAACCTAACCGAACTAACCAAACTTGCTAAAAATGAAATAATATAACAAAAGTTTAGTAATAGAAAAAATAATTCTGTTTATTAAATAAAACTAGAAATTGCTCAATTAAAATTTTATAATGACTTAATAATAAAATTAAACTGTTATAACCGAACCAAACCAACCAAACTTGCTGATAATGAAAAAATCTTGGACAAAAAGCTATGCTACCAGCGGGATTCGAACCCGGGACCTTCAGCAAATCAACCCGGCACGCTAACCACTAGACCACCAAGGCCGATGGCGTCAGGTTGTATTGTTACGGTAATGGCGTTCCCTCAGCTAATGAGAAGCCCACAGCTGTCATCGTAGCCTCTTCTATATCTCCCCTGAGTAAATGGTATTTTTCTAGTAATCGTGGTAAATACCACGAATACTAGAAAAATACCGGTATGTATCATAAACTTAAACAAATGACGTCGTTGGCCCGAATCCTATACTAATAGCATTGACCATATGTTTTGGCAGTTCCATTTAAGCAATGTTAAATAATGTTTATTTTCGGGCCAAAAACGTCATTTGTTTATGTTTATGATCCATACCGGTATTTTTCTAATATTCGTGGTAAATACCAAGTTAAAGTTTTGCGAGTCGGACTCGTTACGTTCCGAGTTCGTGTACCTTCGGCAATCTCCGTACGAGTTCGTGCCAACTCGAGTTCTGAAGAATGAGATGACGGGTCTTGAGTCTTGTCGGCCTAGTCTTGACTTGGACTTGACTCCTTGACTGCTTGACTCGAGTCAACACGACTCACAAACTCAACTCGGTCACATCACTTGCTATGCTAAGCTAGCTAATGCTACGAGACCTTGCCGTCAGACCGTCACCGCCTTTTTTTCGTCTGTCTAGAAACGGGACAGCGGAATTGAAATCCGAACTAAACATCTGACCGCGGGTTTCTGCTTCTGTCATCACCGAGCTTGTTTTAAATTACGCGGGAACAAAGTACAGTACCGTAGCCGTTTAATGTTAAATATAAGTCTAAATATGTTAATTGAAAATTATTTCTAGAATAATTATTAAAAATTACAAATAGCTATATAAGTCCAAATAAAGATGAATTACATAAAAATCCTAACTATTATTACTTGTTGTTTACACTGTTTAAATAACAAAAGTATAGAAAGAAAAAGTTTAATTCCATGTCATTCTAAATTATAGCTTACAGGTAGGCCTATTTTCAGCTGTGAACATTTTAAAACTAGTAACATACCTCGTGTTAAAATTCCTGGTCTTCGTCTTCAAAAGCGACAATTTAACACATATTATATTACACACTAACACACACAAATAATATTTACATTTATTTACAACATTTTCTTCATCTTGGAAACTGTAACAACAAAATGAACATAAAGATTAGGCTATTTTAAATGAGAAATATCTTATTGTGAATTTTCTATAGGCCTACTTGTTTATTTTGTTTGTTTGTCAGTGTCACAAGTTACTCAACATGGGTCTACGTTTATGTTTGTAGGTTCTCTGTGAAAATATCTGGGATGTCAGTGTGTGTGTTCAAGTTCAAAAACTTTTATTTCAGTAAAAGATTTCACTAGCATACCACTGGGCCGAGTGAATACAAGTACAGCAAGTATTTACTTGCGAGTAAATACTTGCAAGTATTCATCGTTCAGGTAATCTCTTGTGAATAAAAGCGACTCTTTACTTGCAAGTAAATCCTATACTCTAATACGAGCAATGTTTGCTTGTATGTATGTATGCTTGCACCAAGATCTCGAAAACGGCTCCGACGATTGTCTTCAAATGTTGTAAATAGTTTATTTTTGGTCTAAAAACGAGTTTATTGCAGTTAGAACTGCCAACAAAATTCTAATTACGTAGAAAAATGAAACTGAAAGACTTATGGGTTGCTAAGTAACCATGTTAGTTGAATTGAATAACAAGGAAAAAGTAAACAAAAGACTTGTTAGTAGTCTATCCACAGTATACTAGCAATAATTGCTTATAAATAATCATACTAATATTATAAATGAGAAAGTTTGGATGTATGGATGTATGGATGTATGTTTGTGACAAGTGAACGCGAAAAATACTGGTCGGATTGGGCTGAAATTTGGCATGATGGTAGCTCACATTCCCGATTAACATATAGGCATATTCTTATTTCAAAAATCCTTTTGGGCTCCGCCCCAGTGGCTCTGGAGTTTCCCATGTTAACCTTATGAGAAATGGAATTATTGAATCTTGACAGCTGTTTCAATTAAACAAGTTGGTTCTGGTCTATGATGTTCAATAGCATTAAAGTTACAAGGATTACCAACAGGGTGCAGCACTCTATTATTTCTTTTACATTTATGACAACAGCTAATTTGCAAACAAAAGGTGAGTGAGCGTAGCGAACGAACTTCAACCTGGAGGCGAGTTAGCGTAGCGAACGAGCTAATCTGAAGGCAAGTGAGCGCAGCGAACGAGCTCCAACCTAAAGGTGAGTGAGCGTAGCGAACGAGCTCCAACCTAAAGGTGAGTGAGCGTAGCGAACAAACTTCAACCAGGACGTGATTGAGCCATGCGAACGAGATAATCTTGAAAATTAAGAAGTTAAACGGGGCAAAGCCCGTGGGTTACAGCTAGTTATTACATAATTACATAATTATTAAATAATTATTACAAAATACAGTACAAAAGGAAAAACATCAGTTGTTACTATTGAGCAAAGATGATACTGAAGATTACTGGATACATTGTAGGAGGACTTTTTTTATCAATAATAGTAAAGGCTAGCAGTGTGGAGTGTGGGAACTGTTTATGACGATTAGATTAAGGTATCTGCAATCCTCAAATGCTATGGGAAGGGAGGGAAACAGGTCTGCGACGTAGGAAGTGGTGAAGGGAGTAGTAAAGGTGAGCAGTCTGGAGTGTGGGAACTGTTAATGGGGATTAGATTAGGGTATCTACAATCCTAAAATGCTATGAGAAGGGAGGAAAACAGGTCCATAACGTAGGAAATGGTGAAGGAAGTAGTAAGGCTAGCAGTGCAGAGTGGGGAACTGTCTGTGGCATTTATAGATCTGCAAATCTAAAATGAGGGCAAACAGGTCCACAACGTAGGGAGTGGTGAAGGAAGTAGTAAAGGTAAGCAGTGTGGAGTTTGGGAGTGGATTAATGTATCTGCAATATTAAACTGTTTTCAGAGTAAACTAATGATTTTCCCCGAGCAAAGCTTGGTCCCCAGGTACTACTTCCTAAATGAGATGGTATACTGATCTATCGGATATGAGGGTATACTTGCAAGTGTACTCCATTTTAAAGTAAACATTATACAGTACAAGTATATATATATATTATAGGCTATATATGATAAATATATATATATTATTGAAGGTCTAAGGCCTTCATTTAAACATGTAAAATGTGAAGGTTTTGCATTATTGAGACTTGTGGATGGATTTTCATTAACAAATAGCTTGAACATAACGAAGGAATACCACAAAGGTTCCATCTTCAACCCAAGCATTATTTTGTGGAAATCACTAGAGTCATACATAATTTAAATAAGTGTATTACACCATACTGAATGTGTTACATGCATTTATCAACAAGTTAACTTAAACAAGCATGGGTTACTGATAACTAGTTGAAAAACAAGTATTTACTCTTTAGGCAAGTATTTGCTGATGGTTATTCACACCAAATTTATAGGTTTCTGAGGGTATATACTTTCTTGGAAAGGCTTTTTAGAAGTACAAGTAAATAGTCATGCTTATTCAATTCTGTTTAAGTAAATACTCAAATTATGAAAATTCAAGACAAGTAAAAAAATTTGAAGTACAAGAACTTTAACTTAGAAAATAAGAATGTGTCAGCTGTTACTATTTCATTTAATTTATAATTGATGGTTGATTATTACCTAATGATTAAAAATTATTAAATATATTTCTTTTACAAAGTTTTATTGGTTTTATTTACAATCTGTTTTAAATTAAATGATAAGTAAATATGATGACATTTATATAAATTAAATAAAAATTGGGGGAAAAATGTATTATTAATAATAAGACTACAGTTAATACAATAATGTATTACTGTTTAAAGTTATGGATTAAATAAACTAGTCTTAGTATTGATCTTAGCCTACCTGGTTAAGCAACTCATGGAGTTGAAGGTTCAACCCCTGTACTGAGCAACAATGCTGTTAAAGCAATGTGCTGAGATTCTTCTCGTGTAGGCCGGGAAGTTGCTTTCAACCCTTTTTTCTTTTTGTTTTTGGTTGAAAAAAAAACTCCTTTGAGGCTCGATTTTTATCTTTTTGGTCTTGGTTCTTACTTTTAAGGCAATATTCCTCTGTTTTATCCATTTCAACTTTGCATCTAGGTTTTTCAGGCATTGATCAGCTACTTTTAAACTCTCCGGGTTAAAATTGACTCAACACGTTGCCTTAATAGAAGTTTGTCAGTAGATCTCACTCTTGTGGGCATAGGCCCACCTATTGACAAAAGTCTTATCGCAAAACTGGCACACATTCATTGTTGACAGTTGACACCACGCGACCACGCGACAGACAGCATCGAATTTGACGTTTAAGTTCGGCACTGCTCGGTAAGATTCGGAAGCGTTCGGCACAGCGCAGTAGTGGGGGAAGCGTCGTTCCGATTTCAAATTCCGCTGTCCCGTTTCTAGACAGACGAAAAATGAGCGGTGACGGTCTGACGGCAAGGCCTCCTGCTAATGCTTAATGCTATGCTATATGCTATATATTATACTGTCAACCAAGTCAACCAACCAACTGTGGCATAACAGTAAGGCGGCCTATCATCTATCAAATTCGTATATTAGGCCTAATTTTCGTTATGATGATTAAGTTGATGTAATTGAGCAAGTTATATGTAAAAGTACATTATGTTCAAGAGAAAACTTTTAGCGCTTAAGTATCACTCTCCAGATGCTTTTGTAATCAGCGGTAAGTCGTTTACTAGGCATAACCTCAACCTCAATAGTTTGAAGGTGTACTGGTGTATTCTCAGTCTCACTATCGAATTGAAAATATTGATTAATAATCGATATTTTTAAAGGGTACAGTTTCTTAACTGGGCTATGCTAATATTGATTGAAACTATCGATTCGATTAGTAAACCTTAATGCGATTTTTTCACCATCAGTAAGTTTGGTTGGTTAGATTAGGTTACGATAGTTTTATTTTATAATAGATATATTAAAAAATATCGACTATTAATCAATATTTTCAATTTGATAGTTTCAATCAATATTAGCATAGCCCAGTTAAGAAACTGTACCCGAAAAAATCGCATGGAGCTTTACTAATCGAATCGATAGTTTCAATCGATATTAGCATAGCCCAGTTAAGAAACTGTACGCCTGGGCTATGCTAATATTGATTGAAATTATCAAATTGAAAATATTGATTAATAATCGATATTTTTAAATATAAGTTAGGTAGGCCTATCTATTATATAATAAAACTATCATAACCTAACCTAACCAACCAAACTTGCTGATGGTGAAAAAATCATAATTTTCTCCCGAGGTCGTGAAGACATCATAATCGTCTCCCTCGGTCGTGAAGACATCGTAATCGTCTCCTACGGTTGTGAAGACATCGTAATAGTCTCCCATGGTCGTGTAGACATCATAATCGTCTCCCGCGGTCGTGAAGATATCGCAATTGTCTCCCAAGGTTGTGAAGACATCGTAATAGTCTCCCATGGTCGTATAGACATCATAATCGTCTCCCGCGGTCGTGAAGACATCGCAATCGTCTCCCGCGGTTGTGAAGACATTGTAATAGTCTCCCATGGTCGTGAAGATATCGCAATTGTCTCCTGCGGTCGTGAAGACATGGTAATCGTCTCCCGCGATTACGGCAAAATGTTAATAAAATCCCGCAGTCATGTGGAGATCATTATCGTCTTCGGCAAAATTCTGACCGTTTCCCGCGGTGTGTGGACCATCGTCTTTTGTAAAATAAAATCATAATCATAGAAAAAAAAACATGATCATATCCCCCGGAGGCTTAGACATTATCACCATCTCATGCGATCGAGTTCTGACCATCCCTCGCGGTCTTGTGGAGACATATTATCGTCTCCCGAGTCCCGCGGTCACGGAAACGTAACTGTTGTCATGCGCCATAGCGGTAAATTGACAACTGTAGGTATAAATACAAAATTCACGCATAATTCCCAGTTAAAAAAAATTCCTGTTATATATATATATATATATAAAAACCCTGTTATATATATTGCTAAGGGGCGCTACTATTAGTTGTGCCTAGGGCGCTGACATTGTCAAAAACGGGCCTGGCACTGTCGGACCAGATGCATCCAAGGGTCTGCACCTACGACCATGTCAAAGAGGAAGCCAACTGGTTGTTCAAGCCTACAAGGACCCTTTTTGGGTCAAGGTTTGAGTTTGAAAGAGCTAGCTAGGTCTATAAGAAAAGATGGTGAGACATTTATTTTGTTTTATAACAGATTGAAGTCTTTAGCTAGAAGTTGAAAGATATGGAGATAGCTTAGATGAACGAGTACGAGATAGGTTTGCAGTAGGTAGCAACTGTCCAGAATTTGAAGTTGAAGTCAGACAAAGATGGCCCGAGGGAGTTAATAACCGAGGTGAGCGTGATAAGCTTTTTTGAAACGTTTTAGGTTGCTGGCGTAATCTAAAACGTTTTGGCTTTGGAAAACAAGTTAACATTGTCCCCATATCAATTCCGTTGAACGATTTAAATGATTATTTTTTAACAGTTTCATCACAGGCAAACGGTACAATAGTTCAGAACCATTTAACAGAGTTACGCCATTTGCCAAATTCCATCACTCAATTTAACTTCAAGCCAATATTGCAAATCGATGTTTTGAAGGCTATAAGGCGGTTAACGTCTGAAGCCACTGGTTCTGACAGAATCCCAATTTCTTTAATTAAACATATTTTGTTTGCTCTCCTCCCAACATTAACTTTCATATTTAATACTTTACTAAGATCAGGTATTTTCCCAGAAAAGTGGAAGTCTGCGCTTGTCCGTCCCTTGAATAAAATCTCATTCCCATCGCTTCCGCAAGACTACAGACCAATTAGCATTCTTCCCGCTCTTTCTAAGTCACTAGAAAGAGTCATTCACTCCCAAGTTTCTGACTTCTTGGTACAAAACAACATCCTCAATAGCTTTCAATCAGGTTTTCGTAAATCTTACAGTACTGAAACGGCAATGCTTCATGTAACTGATGACATACGATTTGCTATGGATTGTAGCCAATGTACTATCTTAACATTATTTGACTTCAGTAAAGCCTTCGATACCGTAAACCATAGCATTCTTCTAGCCAAACTCAAACCGTTAGGTTTCTCTGATAATTCATTAAAATGGATTAGATCATATCTTCAGAGCAGAAAGCAGTGTGTTTCTCATGACAACTTGACGTCCGACTGGAGACATGTTCCCTGCGGAGTTCCCCAGGGTTCAATTCTTGGTCCTCTGCTTTTCACCATTTACATCAATTACATCAGTACAGTTCTACACCACGCAAAGTTTCATTTGTACGCTGACGACTTGCAAATCTATTCTCATTTTAAAGTGAGCGATGCAAATGAAACTATAAACATGATGAATCACGACATCAACAGAATTGTTCAATGGGCAGAAAAGAACGGACTTAGACTCAATCCTGACAAAACAAAGCCAATCATCATAGGTCACTCACGGTTGGGTTACTCAACAAAGTGGACTTAGACATTTTACCAAAAATCACTGTAAACGGAACCACTTTGCAATACCAGGACAAAGTAAAAAGTCTTGGTTTGACTCTAAACCGTACATTGGACTGGACTGACGCGGTGGTAAGCACTTGTAAAAGAGTGTTTGCCGCTGTTCACACACTGAAGAAGATGCAACGACTTCTACCTTTTCACATTAAACTCTTACTGGTCAAATCACTCGTGTTACTACACTTCAACTACTGCAACACCGTGGTTAATGATATGACTGTGGCTTTGGCAACAAAATTACAACGTGTACTTAAAATTATTGTGTTTGATTCTTGTTCAATCTTAGGCGTGATGACCATGTCACACCCTATTACATTAATGAATCAATTTTGAAATTAGAGGACGTCAGAAAAATACGAATACTTTCCATTACTCATTCAGTGATCAATCTTGGAATCCCAATTTATCTTGCAAAGAATTTTAAATTTTTGAATGGAAGAGGCGCAAGGGATACCCGCTCTGGCTCGTCCACGCTTCGCATTCCTCATCATAGAACAACTGTTTATAATAAATCATTTTTAGTAACAGCCTGCCGCCTATGGAACTCCATACCTCTGCCCATCAAATCTATAGGAAACTGATCCTGACTGATGGTGGCGCTGAAAGAATATTACCTTGACCGGATGGCCGTGGCTTGGCAGGATGGCGTGCGTTAGCTCTAGATGCAGCAGAGGGTGTATGTGTGTGTGACTGTATGTTAGGGAAGATGAATAGATTACGCTATTTTATTACTAGCTATGTTACTAACTTTATTGTATTTTTTGTTATTATTTAGTTGTTATTATTAGTTTTTTAGAGTTTAACTGTAAGAATGGACCATGTGGTCCTAAGTTTGCCTCAATAAAGAAGCATTTTCATTTCATTTCATAAGTCAACAGTAGTACTAGAGTTAGCTCAATCCATGGAACGTGCGAGAGAAGAAGTTTCCAAACATTCATGTAAAAACAAGATTTTCAAAGTAACAGTACGGAAAATAGGAAACCAAAGGTACAGAAATCTACTGGTTTCAATAGATGTTATAGATGTGGGTTTGCGCATTACCCTAGAGAAGACTGGTGTCCTGCTATTTCTAATGTGTAAGAAATGTTCAAAGAGAGGCCACTTTGCAAGAATGTGCAAAAGTAAAAATATTTTTTTCAAGATAACAGACGGTAATTTGAGAAAAGTAGATGATTCTTGTGATCAAACTTACGATAATGAGTGTAGTTCTGATATTGATGTTAGCGGAACACAAATTAGGTCGGTCAAGAGTAAGTTTCCCAGAGCTACAATATATGTAGACTTGAACGGGTACAGCTCGTGACATCTAAGCTGCGACGCTACTCTCTGCACTGGAAAAAATAATAAAAGTGCAGCAGTCGCAACCGTTTGCCGGGGATAGCTCAGCCTACAATGGCTGGGTAAAGTTCCAGGGTCTGCGATAAGGTCAGGGAAACCACTAGGCCAAAAGCCGGGTCTAACCGGTATAGGGCTGGCTCATACACGGGCACTGTGAACAAGTAAAAAAACTAGTCACCAAAACAAACGTGCAATAATCACCACCAGGCCTACGCCGATTCTCCACTCTCCTAGGGGGTCGTTGCTGACTACGCAACTCGGGCTTCGTCCTAACTATCCAATAGTTAAGCCCAGAGTGCCTAAAACTCGGTGAGTTACACGACGACTTGCCAATAAAAACCCCAACGCGAGTTATCACCAGGCGGGGTCTACTAGGCCACTATAATCCAATACACAACTCTATTGCCCACGCTAACAATCAAACAGCTCACTCAATAATAATACCAGATAACAATACAAGCGCACTATATGTAGAGTGACTACACCACTAGTAGCTGGTCTCAATAAATACCAAGCCAAGCAAGCAAAGCTAACTGTCAATTGCACTACTATTAAATTATTGAGCTACTTAGTAGCAGATAAATAAATATTAAATACGTTCCAAACACTAGATAAATATATTATCTGATAGCCGGTACTCCGCTATCCAAGCTACCAAGATAACGTGTTGGACTACCAAACAAGCTGTTCAGGTTAAATTAAAATAATCAAATGAATAAACAATAACAACCCTACTACTGCTACTGCTATTACCAACTTTATGTTACTTAGCTGGGCCTCTGTTAATAGGCTAATAATATTAGCTTCTAGCCTACTGGCCACGTGTTTCCAACTACGCAC